GGGGACTGGGGGCTTGGGGCAGAGTCCAGCCCTGGGGGCATCGTTTCTCAAGGGGGCTGAGAGCCAGACGAAAAGGCCTCAGGGACCACCTGTGTGTGTGTTTGGGGGCTGGGGGGGCCACACAGGTGCCCTGTCACCCTCGCTTTGCCAGGGAGGAACCTGCAGCCCAGGCAGCTCCCCAGGGTCCCACGGGGCTGGGAAACCAGACCCCACAGCAGGCTGGTGGGGGAGCCTTTGTTGCCCACATGAGGGAGGTATAAGCTGAGGTATAAGGAGGTGCCCTGGCGCGCTGAGTGGATTCCACAGCCCAGCGTTGCCCGGAAGAGGCTGCACATGCCTTTGACTGTTACCAGGAGACGGCAGCCCGGGCCCCCCAGTGCGCTCAGCTCCCTGCTGAATCAACAAAGCGCAGGCTGCAAGTTCAAAGCCTTCAGGGCAGCAAGGTAAGAACAGCCCCAGTGCCCCCCGGGGCTCCTCCCCCTCCAATCCCAGGCCCATTTTCCCTGGAGCTCCTGGGGTCACGCAAAAAGAACACTTTGGGTGAAAGGGAGGGTTCGTGGCCGGAGCCGTGCGTGGCACGCTGCACTGAGCGTGGCCGGGAAACGAGGCCTTTCTTTTCCCAGCTTCTCACTGGAACCGAGCCTTTCCGTCCCGGTGAATGGGGGCGGAGGCGCCCGGCGGGGCCAGCAGCCCCTGTGACTGGTCCACCCCCGGCGGTTGCCCTGGCAACCTCCCAGGGCTGCCAGGGCATCGCCACTCGGACCCTCCAGTCAGGGCGCGTCAGACCCACTGCCACGGCCACCGTTCACGTGGCAAAACAGCCCGCAGCCCACGTCACAAGTACCCCGCCGGGTGCCTCGGGGTGGGGTGACCTCCATCTGGGGAGGGGGGGCGACCCGTACCTCTAAATCGCGTAAGAGTGTTATGAGCTAATGTGACCTCGATCTTAAACACAAGGTGTTGGGAAATTCAGCTAGAACTCCGGCCTGCACCCCAGTTCTGTGTGCATAAATAGATCAATCTTGAAAAAAAGGACTGTGCTCCCACGAGACACTGTGCCCTCTGGGCGCCCCTCACCGCCCGGCCCCCACCCAGCCTCGCTCCTGCCGCACCTTGTCCATCATGGCGAAGATCCGGTCCACCCGCTTCTCAGGGGTGTTCTCCTCCTCGGGGAGCTCCACGGTGTTCCCCTGTCAGGGACGGGCAGGTGGGGCCGGGCTGCGGCGCCCCGGGCTCGGGGCTCGCGGGCTGAACTCTGCCCCCGGCCTGTGCCGGCCCCAAGTGCTGCCACCTCTGCCCTGCTCCCCGTAACAGCAGCCCTGGAACACCCCAGCCCGGCACCTGCCCCCGTGCCCCGGGACAGTGGCCACACGGCTCCCTCCGGCCAGGCTGGCCTCTAGGGGACCCTCCGGCCTCACCACCATCTGGTAAATGGCGTCCACAATGTCCAGCATCTCGTTCCTGGTGATGTAGCCGTCGTTGTCCAGGTCGTAGAGCTTGAAGGCCCCTGCGGTCAAGAGCCAGGGTGAGTGACGCCCGGCCCACGGCAGGAGGCCTGTGCCCGCCCCCCGCACCCCCACTCGCCCCGTGACCGGCAGCCCCGGGGGGATTTACAGATCTCAAACGGGGTCAGAAGCAAAGACACTCGGAAGAGGGGTGCTGGCTCTGCCTGGGAGGGCAGCCGGGGGGCAGGAGGGGTCCCCCGCTCCCCACCAGCCAGCCCCGCCCCTGCCCCCGCACCCTACGGGGTCCCTCTGTAGTCGACTCAGAAAAATATAAAAGAGCATGCTCAGAAAATAAAAGAAAGCAAGCTTTGATCTGAATAAAACCCTCTTTCATTCCTAAAACGAGAAAAGAAAACGCAGACAGGGCCCTCTCGGGAGCCGGCCCGCGCCACCATCTTCCCTGAGGACCCCGTCTCCCCCGTCCAACCCCCCACCCCCGCCCCGGCGCTCGGGCTCCTCTGTCTCTCGGGCTCCTGGGGCCTCGCCCGTGCTGCTCCCGCCTGGACGCCCTCCGTCCGCCTCCGCCCTGCCCAGCCCGGCCCTCTCCCAGCAGGCCACACCAGCTGCTGGCTCACACCAGCTTCCCCCTGCCTGCCGGGCTGCGGCTGGGCATCTTTTGAGCAATGTGCCCCAGGGCGGACGGCCTGTCCATCTGAATCACTGTGGACCAGCCTCCTGCCCGGCACTGAGGACAGCTGGGTGAGTCACGGACGGGTCGAGGCAGTGAGCAGTGGGCCAGTCACCAAACACTGGGCGCCGGGGGTGGCCGGGGCTGGCTGTAGGTGCACAAGCCCGCACCCAGCTCTGCGCCTGCCCCGTCCACCCAGCTGGGCCCGGCTCCTCCCCCGCAGCTGCTCCCCCACCTCCATGGGCTGCACGGCTGTGTCCCTCAGCCTGGCCGGGAGGCCTGCCCGGCAGCACCGGCCCCAGCAGGTCCGGCTGACACCTGCGGGACACCTGCCCCCCTCCAGCCTGCCCCTGCCCCGCAGCTGCTCCAAGGTACCCGGGACTCACACCGCAGCTTCTCGTCCAGGGTCCCCCGCGAGGTGACCGACAGCGCCTGGATGAACTCCGAGAACTCGATCCGCCCATCCTAGCAGGAGAGGGGGCGGGTGCTGGGTCAGTGCTGGCCACCACGCAGACTGGACCTCGGCGGGTGGGATGGCGGCACCGTGGCCACGCACCCAAGGCCGACAGGCGCGCAGTGGTGAGGGCGGGGGAAAGTGTGCAGGCCAGGCGAGGGACATGGCAGGCCAGGGAGATGGGACTCCACACCTGCGAGGGGTGGATGACGCCATCCCCGTGCACCCCTCTGGAGCGGGGAGAGCCCCAGAAACCCTCCCTTCCTCCTTGACCAAGAGCCACAGGCACAGGCCTTCGAAGAGGGCGCAAAAGACGGTCTCAAGGTTTCCTCGTCAGTTTTGCAAATAGGGAAACAGGCGGGAGAGGCCTGGGCTCTTTCGAGGACCCACGGGGCCGGTCAGCCTGGGGCCCTGGGGAGAAAGCGCAGGACAGCCCTGGATGTGCATGGGCCGAGTGTGCGGCCGTGGGCAGGCAGGGCCACCAGGACAGGCCTCAGAGAGCTGATGCCCGGCGGAAGCGGCCAGGCTCGGAGGGCGGAGGGCAGGGTGTCCCCGCGTGCCAGGGATCTATACAGCCTCGCTGAAGACAGCCAGGTAGAGGCCGGGGCCCGCGGAGCAGCAGGGGTGTCCGACCCCTCTCTGGGCCCATGCTCTGTGCTTCGCAGGCATGTGCCCTGCAGCCTGGGGAGAGGCCTCGGCACGGGCGTGCACGGGGCGTGTGTGCGTGTGCAGGTGTGTGCAGGCATGTGCCCTGCAGCCTGGGGAGAGGCCTCGGCACGGGCGTGCATGGAGCGTGTGTGCGTGCACAGCCGTGTCCCCTGCAGCCAGGCGTGAGTGATACACCTGTGTGTGGCTGCCATGCCCCCGCCGTGTGCCTGTGATGTGCACATGTTTCTGCAGGTGTGTCACATGCATGCCTGTGTATGTGCAAGTGTGTGTGCATACGAGCCTTGTGCATGTGAGCGTGTGCATGAATGTGTGTCATCATGTGTGTGTACGAGCGTGTGTGCATACGAGCCTGTGTGCATGTGTGTGCACGAATGTGCACCATCATGCGTGAGTGTATGTGTGCATGTGTGCATACAATCCTTGTGCACATGAGCATGTGTGCAAATGTGTGCATCATCGTGTGTACGAGTGTGAGCGTGTGTGCGTGTGTGCGAGCGTGTGTGCATATGAGCCTTGTGCATGTGTGTGCGCGAATGTGCGCACCATCATACGTGTGGGTGTGAGTGTGTGTGCACGTGTGCATACGAGCCTTGTGCACGCGAGCATGTGTGCAAATGTGTGCATCATCGTGTGTGCGAGTGTGTACAAGTGTGTGCGAGTGTGAGCGTGTGCGCGTGTGTGCATACGAGCCTGTGTGCGTGTGAGCGTGTGCACGAATGTGTGCACCATCATGCGTGCGAGTGTGTGCAAGTGTGTGCGAGTGTGCGTGCATGTGAGTGTGTGTGCCAGCGTGCACGCGCGCGTGTGCATCAGCAGAGAACAGCAGCGGGCGGGAGTGGGTGCGGAGACACGGGGGCGCCCGCGGGAGCTGAGCGTGCCGCTGCCGGTGGGGGTGGGGTTCGCCGGAGAGCCCCTCGCTCCCTGCTCACCTTGTTCTCATCAAATACGTTGAAAACGAAGGTGGCGAACTTGGTGGGGTCCCCGAACGGGAAGAACTGCTTGTAGATCTTCTGGAAGCCGGCGGCGTCCAGCTGCCCGCTGGGGCAGTCCTTGATGAAGCCTTTGTACCTGAAGGGGCGCGGGCGAGCGGTGAGGGAGGCGCCCTTCGCGGCCCGAGCCGGGAGACCTGCCCCGGAGCGCCACACGGTCACAGGCCAACCGGCCCCTCCCGGGCGTGGGACCTCCGCCGGTGACCTGCCCCCCAAAGCTCATCTGCTCGAGGAGGATAAACGTCGCCATGGAAACCAATCCAGACGCGGACCAATCCAGAGACGGCAATCCGCTGGCGCTGCATGTGGGGGTCAAAAACTGATGGGAACAGCCCGCCTGAGGGGCTGGAGCCAGACGCCGCCTCCCCCTCTCCACTCGGCCCCCTGCACAGGCTGCCAAGCGGGCTGGTGGTGATGGTGGGCAGAGGCGCCTGTGGGCTGGCAGCTGGCTCCTCCCACAGGCGCGCACCAGCGCCGTGTGCACCCTCAGCCGGCTCGCGGGAGGTGTGCGCAGCCCTGGAGCGGGACCCTGGAGGACGCGGCTGGCGGCACCCGCACTCCCCCCGCGGGCGGGGCCCCGCAGACGCCGGGGAGCAGCTGGCCTTGCACGCAAACCCCAGCCCCACCGCCACGCGCTGGGGGCCGGACACCAACCCCCACCCCTCCTCGTGGGAAAGGGAGCACTCCCCGCCCCCCGAGTGGGCACGGGGAGACACCTGTGCCGCACACTCGGGGGGCTGTCAAAGACAGGAGCTGGCTGAAGGGCCGGGGCTGCGTGGCCACCACAGCTTGGGTCAGGCTCCGGTGCCCCCGCGGCACAGACGACTCCGAGGCCAGGCACCCCTCTGCGGCCTCCTCAGCCCTGCTTGCAGGTGTTGGGGTTCTCGTCCCCACAGCAGTGCCGGGGTGCGCGGCCGGCAAGGCGCTCTGGGGTGCGTGAGCCCAGGCCCGCGCCGGCGCCTTCCCCAGCGAGAGGGGCGTGGGCGGCCCCAGGCCCCAGTGGCCCACGGCACCCCCAGACGCCCACAGAGGGGCACCCGCGCACATTCTCCACTGGATTCTCAAAGACTGTGAGCGCCAGTAGGAAGGAAACAAAAGGCCTCTAGTGTAGGGGGGCCGTGGGGAGCCGCCAGCAGCCACGTGCGCCCGGGCGTGGGCCGGAGCCCTGGGGGCGGGTGGGCAGGCACAGCGGGGGCCCTCGGGGCCTGCCCGGTTACCCCATAGAGGCCGCCACTGTGGGATCTCAGCCTCGTCGTGCCATGGGGCCCTGCCACACTTTCTAGAGCCTGGCAGGCCTCTGCCGGTGACGCTGGGCCTCCCCTTCGCCTGGCTGACCACTCACCACCAGGCGCCCCAGCACCTAACGGCTCCCCCTGGATGGCTGGGGAACCGCGAGTGAGCCACACCTGCATGGTGCGTTGATGGGGAACAGGGCCCAGAGGGGGAGAGACACTGGCCAAGGTCACACAGTCGGTTGGAAGCAGGGCCCCATCGTCGCCTCTCCAGCAAGCCGCCCCCCGCCCGCCCCAAAGACGCTCGCGGTAACACTGCAGCACCGAGCGCTGCGTCTCCCCTTGTACCATCAGCAGGGGCCACCCTGCCCCCGTGGAGCAGAGAGGGGGAGGCCTGAACTGTCCCAGACACCCCAGGGCCCCAGGCCCCTAACTCACCCTGCAAGTCACCGCTGTCCAGGGTGAGGACCTGGTGTGTGGTCAGTCCTGAGGGGGGCCGTGTCCCCACAGCTGGCAGGGCTGGGCACTGCACGGACACCCCCAGCCACGCGCCCATGCCCACCCCCACGGCCAGTTCACGCCTGGGAGTGGAAGCCGCACCCCGCGCCAGCGTGCCCGGCCTCTGCGCCCCTGCCCGCCTCTTCTCACCTCCCAACCTGCTGTCCCCAGGAGGCGGCCTGGTGTGCCCGTCCTGTGTCCAGTGAGGGGTCCCAAGCGCCCCTTTGCCTCCCCCCCAACATGCCCCTCAGCTCTCTCGGGGCGGCAAGAGGCACAGACCAACCCGGGTTCCCCTCCGGGCACTGCAGCGCCAGGCCGCGTGACCGTCCGCGGGGGCCTGTCCGGTCAGCAGCGCCCCAATCTCCTCTAGATGCCCGTGGCTCCGCGTCCCCAAACCTCCACCCAAATGTCTCTTGACACAGCCAAATACACGGGGCAGACGCGCTGCAGCAGAGGCCTCGGCGGGCGGCGGGGCGGGGTGGCGGCCACGTGTCTGCCTCGTCCCGGCCACGGCCCCGCGTCAGCGCGAGGAGCACCCACCGCTTCACGGACGGGAGTCGAGCGCCCTGGCTGGGCCTCCCTGGCCCTGCCCGGCTCCTTCTCCCCCCAATAATCACACTCTGGCAATGACCTGGGGGTGGCGGTGTGACCTGTGCGATGCGGGACAGAGAGGCCTGGCCTGGTCCATCGAGGCGGGGACCGCGAGTGCACCCCGGGCCTGTGAGGCCCCCCTGCACCCAGCACGTGCTGGTGCTCTGTGAACGTCACCAAACGAAGTCACACTGGGAAGTGGGGTGGCGCAACCGCAACCACGTGCTACGGGCCTGGGGGGCCGGCTCCGGGGCCCCCTGTCCCTCGGAGGGCACCTCCCAGGCCCAGGGCCCCAGTGACGGCCCCACCACCCTCCTGCAGCATCCCGGGCCCGGCCAGAAGCACCGTGCGTGACCCGCTGGGACCCCGGTCAGGCCCAAGGGGGACCGGTGGTGAGCCTCACGGCAAGCTGGCAAGTGGGGGTGACCCACACGGTCAGATCCCAGAGCGAGTCTGGGGGCCCAGTCGCAGACGCTCCGGTCCCATGAGGCCGGGACGCCAGGGCCCACCACGCAGACCCAGAGGGGCTTCGGGGAAGAGGAGCCCGCAGGGCCTGGCGCGGTCGCAGCTCCGTCTCACGGCTTCCCTGGCGGCGCTGAGCGCGGGCACTGTACAGCGCAGAAGAGGAGCTGAGGCTTTTTAACGTTTGAAGAACAGAAACGGCCTCCCTGGTGGCGCAGGGGCTGAGTCTCCACCATGAGGCTGTCGCAGCCACCGCAGCACGAGTTCAAACCCCGCGAGGGGGGGACCCACAGGGCGCAGCAGACCCCTCCTGTCTCCCCGCTGCTGCCCCCAGCAGTGGATTTCAGTCCATCTGCCTGTCCTGCTCCTCACTCTGTCTCTGTGACTCCTCTCACCCCCCAGCACCTCTGGCCTGGACCCCAGTTCCTATATGCATAAATGAATAAAAATAAACCTTTAAAAAGAAGAAGAAAGGAAGGACCCGGGCTCCCGAATCCGCACGGCTCCCGCCAGCACCTCCCTTCGTCATGACCTGCAGGTATGACTTCCCCTGTCTGAGCCTCAGTTTCCCCACTGGGAGGCAGGGCCCTGCCTTTCTGGACCCAGAGCAAGGTTCCAGAGACTGGCTGACACTGGAGATACGGGGGTCTGAGCATTGGTGCACAAGTCCTTCCCAGGGGAAGCCCTTCCCCCGGGGGGCTCCCCCACATACCAGAGCCCCAGAGGCCACCGCCAGCCTACTCTAGGCCCCCTGGCCGCCAGTTGCCCCAAGAAAGAGGCTCCCGCACAACCATACCCTCTGGAGGTCCCAGGATGACCTCCCTAATACCTGAGCTCCTGGGGCACCGGGGGAGCAGCAGGGCTCCAGGGGAGCCCAGATACCCCCACCCAGCATCACAGGTAGAGGGAGCACTCACAGGGAGACCCTGCTCACCCAGCCTTGGGGGCGCCCCGCTCATCCAGTCTTGGGGGTCCCCGCTCACCTGGCCTTGAGGGTCCTGCTCACCAGACCTTGGGAGTCCCCGCTCACCCGGCCTTGGGGGGGGGGCCCCGCTCCGGGGAACAGCCCGCGCCAGAGACCCCTCTGGGAACGGGAGAGGCCACGGAGCCCGCCTGGCGTGATTGTGCCTGCTGCTCTTCACGGCCAGGTGAAGACGCGCACAGAAACCTGCACCCCTACACTTCTCTAAAAAGGAAAAGAGAAGCCGCCATTTCACAATAAACCGGCAAGGACCCGTCCCCCAAGGGCCGAGCAGGCCCGGCGCTGCCCCGGGCTCGCCAGAGGCCCAGCGCACCGCTGTCCCACGGGGCAGCCCCAGCCCCAGCCGGCCCGTCGCCCCCACACCACGGCCTCCATGCCAAGGGCTAAGCGCCACAGCGGCTTCGCTCTGCAGCAAGTAGAGGGATAAACAGTAAGGCAGAACCCAGCTGCCTCACGCACAGCCGGGCCGTGGCCCTCGGCCTTACCCCCCATTATCTTCCCAAACGAGCCCCTGGACTGGCAGTCCTCTCCCAGAGCTCCCCGAGACCTGGCTTCAGAGGCTCCTGGAGGAGGTCCCAGCAGCCGAGGGCACAAAGCCGAGCCCTGCCCCTTGCCGGCATCTCCCCTCTCCACCTTCCGTTCATGGGGTTTCCCGGACCAGAGGTCTGCAGGCCTGAGCTCGGCCCGGGGGCAGGGTGGCCCCAGCCTCAGTCTCTTCATAGGTAAGATGGGGCCGCCTGTGTGGCACAGAGCTGGGGTGGGGAGCGGGGCCACGGGGCGGGGCGAGGCCTCCAGGCCCGCCGGCCCTCACCGGCTGCAGCATGAGGAGGCCCCAGGTTAAGTGCCCCGCTGGGTTGTCTGGCTGTGAGCGATGTAAGGAAAGCATCTCAGAAACTTGGAAAAACAGAAACTGGAGGCGGAAAAAGGCCCCGTTCCCCAGGGTGCCACTCACCGGCCCCAGCTCTGGCCAGCAGCCTCCCCCCACCCTGCTCTGTGTCCATCCTGGACAGGGCTGAGCTCGCTGGCGGTCAGGTCCCCTTTGTTCTGCAGGTCATGACCACTCTCACGCCTTAGCAGCTGAGGCCTGCACGAAGCACTGAGCCGGTCAAGAGCAAGGGCCGCGGGGAGCCCGGGCGGCTGCAGACCCGCACCGGCCCCACCTCCCCAGCCTCCCGGCTCCCCCCTGCCCAACACAGACCAGCGCCCGCGGCCCAGGGCGGCCTGCAGCTCAGACCATGCTGTGGGCCAGGCACAGGGGTGCCCAGTTGGCCTGGGCGCTCCTGGCCGACCCTCAGGCGCAGCATTATTGTCCAAACAGCTCACGCAGCCTTCGCTGTATTCCCGGGAAGCTTGGCTGTCACCCTCCCTCGCTTTCTAGGTGGGGAAGCGGGCACCAGGAGCCCAGGGCCCAGCCACGGTCGCTCAGCCAGTTGTGGGGACTCAGGCTTGTGCCCACCCGGCCTCCTGCCTCTCTTGGGGACGGGCCGGTGCGAGCAGGGGCCCTGGGCTGACCCTGCACCGCCTGACTCAGGGGCCTGGCCTAGGAGGTGCCACGGAGCAGGGAGGACACACTCTGGTCTCGGCCTGCCCCTGCCCGGATAGACCAGGGCACCGCTCGGCTCCCTTTCCCCCTCCAGCCCAGCCCCTGAGCCCAGGGAGTGCCACCATCTGGAGCACAGGTGGGCCAGCAGCCAGGCATGTCAGGTGGGGACGGGCAGTTCACGACCCCCGGGACTCTCACTCTGGGCCCCCCTCCTGGGAGACGCGGGCCAGAAACTCCTGCTAGGTGTACCCAGACCTTCACCGACTGGCAGATGCAAGAGCTCAGCTGCCAGGTCTCGCTGGCAGGTCACCCCAACCCCGCCGCCTTCCCACTGTGCACCAGGGTGCCCCGAGCTCGTCCGGTTTCCTTGTGGGCTGTGGCGATGACACCAGGTCAGCCCCAGAGGTTGAGGGCCCTGGGATGGTGTGCAGGCCTCAGGCAGGAAGGAGGCAGAGGGGGGACACACGGGTAACTGCTGACCAGCATGTCCCAGGAGGGGCCCTGGCTGGGAGGTCAGAGGAAGCCCCTAACCCCACCTGGGGGCCAGGGGAAGGAGCTGGGGGAGGGAGACTTGAGGGTGAGAAGACAGTAAGTAGCTAAACAAAGAGAAGAACAGCCCAGGCCAAGGTCAGGGAGTTGCAGAGAGTGAGGCGAGTCCAGGACTGGACAGCAGAAGGCAAAGGGCAGTGACTAGAGGGGTCACTTAGACGTGTACTTCACCGGGGCCCCATGGAAGGTTTTAACAGAAACCTTGCCTGCAAGACAAAGGAAGAGTATGTACAGGTGGGCAGTCCAGGAAGGCTTCCTGGAGGAGGCGACTTCGGTGAGCTCTTGGGAGGCTGGCGCTCAGATAGCCGAAAGGCAAAGAGGGTACTTCAGGGGGCAGAGGTGGGTAGACAGGGCCCAGGCAGGAAGACGCATTGTAGGAGCGGGAGCATGGGGATAAAGACCTAGAAGCAGGAGTGTTTCTGGAACACTCACCTGGGGAGGTGAAGTGGAAAACGAGGTCAGACACAGGCCAGGCCCACATTAGGTTCTAGAATGTGGGGGAGGAGGAAGCGGAGGCGGCTGCTCCCACCCTGTCTGGTGCAGCCAGGGCTGCCGTGGGCTGGGTGTCCAGCATGGGCCAGCAGAGCCCGAGGGCGCCCTCAGCTCTTGCCCCCTGCAGTCTGAGGATGTTGCCCCACCCCAGCCTCCCTTGTCCTGGCTGGGGCCCACACGCCTGACTGGGACGAGGGCGCGTCACCAGGCCTCAGTTCCCCATCTGGACAGTGGACAGAAGACCCCAGGCGAGGCTGTCGCCCGGGGTCACTATCCTTACAGGAAAGGTCTCCCTGATGCGCACCGCTCCTGTGTCCCGTGGGGGACTGAGGCCCAGGGTGATGGCAGGCAGCAAGGGCAAAGCCAGGACTCTGGACTCCGTTAACTTCCTTTTATATATATATATATATGTTTTTAAAGATTTTTTTTTTTTTTTTGCATAGAAGAACTGGGGTACAGGCCAGAGTTGCGGGGGCGAGAGGATTCACAGAGACAGAGTGGGGAGAGGAACAGGCACACTGCCGAGGGGAGCAGCGGGGAGACAGCGGGGCTCTGCTTGCGCCCTGGCTGGGATGGAACTCAGGCCATCGCAGGGATCGTGCTGAGACTGACCCAGGTCACCAGGGAGGCCCTAGACTCCACTTGTACACCACTAACTTTGATTAGAAGTTCTCCAAGCTCGCCTCCTGGCACCCCCCTCTGAATTCAGGCTCTCCTCCCGTGTGAGCCTCTGCTGTCTGCTCCACATTCCACGGTGACAGGCAGTCTGTGACCCCCCTCCCCGGCCCGGGGCAGGCATCACCAGCCCATTACCGACCTCATCAAACTCCACTGCTCCCTGAGCCTCACAACGCTTCCTACCAGAGCACAGCAGGCAGCCACCATGATCAACTGCCATGAGCTGCATCCAAGAGGAAAACCACCTGCCGTCTTTGATCTAATCTAATGGCTCCTCTTGCAACAGGGGCAGCTGAGCCCCAGGAGAAGAAGCTTCCCAAGGTCCCTGGGTGACTGAAGCACAAAGCGGGCCTGGGACCCAGACTTCTATCCCAGACCCTCCCTTTGGCGGCCTGGCCCAGAAGGTGCCACACGGGGCCAGGGCTCCACACACCCCACCCGACCCCCCAAGCAACGGAATCTACAGCAGCCCGTCCCTTGGCCGACGGGTCTGAGCAAAGGCTGCCTGGGGGTGGCTGGGCCATTCTCACAGACCTTCTCATCAGCTCCAAAGCAACACCCTGCCCTCCCCCCCAAACAACTTGGGGAAAAGCGGTTACTCACCACTGCTGGACCTCCTTCTCGGTAACTGCAAGAGAAAACAAAAGCAGCCTTTAGCTCAGGGAGGTGTCCCAGGGAAGGCAGACTCGGGCCCCCTCCTGCTCACCCCACCCCAGCCTACAGCTGCTTGTCAGGTCGGCGCCAGCTGATACCGAACAAGAAAACCCCCAGGAAACGGCCCCCCGCCAGGTCTGTGCCCAGCACCCCGGGGGGGCAGCAGGTCCGCCCCTGCCCACGGCCAGCACCACCTCACACGTGCAAGGATGGGCTGGGGGCCCCGGGACGTCTCAGACACGGTCTGCCACTGCTCAGCCCCAGGACAGCACGGTCAGAGGGCACGAGGTTCCTGGGACTCGGCCACCCCAGGACACGCAGGGTCTCGCCGTGGGGAGCAGCTCTCGGCAGAAAGGCACCCAGCAGCTCGCTGTCCGCCACCCCTTGCAGGGGCCTGCTGGCTCGACAGGCCGCAGACCCAGAGCAGAGGAAGCCACAGTGTGGCTGAGCGCGGCCAGGCCGCCCCCCCACACACACACAACCCCCGCCAGGGAGCCAACCAGAAGCGGACAGCGGCGTTTCTGAAAAGGCTCAAGCTGACACAAACCAATGTTCCCTCTAGAATCGCGGAGCGACAAGTGCTGACCACCCCCAAGGCCACACTCGCTCTCCACAAGGGGACCCCGGGAAAGCGCCCCAGCTCCCCGAGCTTCAGCCCCTGCTTGGGAAGCAGAAAGGCTGCAGCTCGAGCAGCCCGAGCATCAGCCGAACGGGCATGACAGACAGGGCCCGGCACCCTGGCGCGGGGTGGGGTGCGCCCATGGAGCGTGGGCAGGAAGGTAGGACTCAGGCGGGGTCAGGCGAGGGAGGGAGGCGGGACTTCCCCCAGGCGTGGGGGACGGAGGCCCCGACGTTGGCCGGGGTCAGCCTGGAGGAAACCACGGCTCAAAACCGGTCATCGCCAGCTTGTAACAGCCGCCCCACGCCAGTGCCCTTGGGGTGCCCCGACCTGCGCCCCGCTCTGGCCCAGCTGACATGGCTCCGAGAGAAGGCAGACTCATTCTGCCCTGGCTCTGCATGGGGAAACTGAGGCACAGAGGGACCAGGACCAGCAGCGGGGTGAGGTCTGAACCCAGTTCTGGGGCTCCGCAGCCAGACACAGCCTAGAACCCGGGGGCCGGACGCTGGGCCAGTGCTTGGGCCAGCTCCCCTGCGCTCAGGTCAGGGGGCGAGGGGCAGCCCTGCCCGGAGCAGGCCGCTCTCAGCGGAGCTCCAGGCCGCGCGGGCGGGCGGCACCAGGGACCTGGACAGCCTGGCCTGCTGGAGAGGACGCGGTTTCCAAGAATCTGGCAGCAGGCAGGGACGCGGGGGAGGAGTTGGGGGGGCGGGACAGGCATGGGGGGTGGGGCAGAGGTACAGTCGGAGCTCGGGGGGCTCCGGGCTGTCCTGGGAGCCAGCCCCCCGCCCACCAGCTGCGTGGCCCTGACCGCCTGAGTCTGTCTCCAGGTCTGCAAAATGGGCTCGCTGAGTCCAAGGTGCTGGGGCCAGACACGGGACAGAGAATCCCTGTGAGAGGACTGGGCTTTGGACAGTTTGCTGACCTGGCCTGGCAGGACCACGGCTGTGCCTGCAGAGCCCAGGATGGACGCCAGGCTGGGTGCCCCAAGTCAGCCCATGAGCTGAAGGCCCTTGTGTGACCTTGGCGTCTGCGGCACAGGCGGAGCTGGGGGCGGGCCCACCGTGGACGTTGGGGCCGGGGGTTCACAGAGTCAGAGAGGCTCTCGTGGAGCCCCAGCTTCTCTGCCCCCAACACAATCCCCAGGCTTCTCTGCCCCCAGCCTCCCTGTTGCCTGTCCGCCTCCCGAGCCGCCCGGATGCAGTGGCCATGGGCTGGAGAGAGGTGGGTCCCCTCCCACTAGACCTGTCCTGGGGGATCGGCGGGCGGTCAAGCCCCCCTCGCGCGTGAGCACTGGGCAGGAGACGAGCCCTCCCCACGCGCCAAGAGCGAATCAGCCTTTAGGAAGCCTATGAAGCCGCTGCCTGGTCTCAGAGGATCTTGGGTCTCGGACAGGGGCCCGGCCACCAGGCCCAGGCCCCCCACCAGGACCATCCTGCTTACCAGCTACCACCTCAATCCAGAGGTGGGGAGGCAGGCATCGGGAGGAACCCCAAGGCCACTGGGGAAGGAGGCCCTGCCGGGGACCCAGCACCGAGACCCACGTCCCTGGCATCCTGCCCCTTCCTGAAGCCCGGCCATTCCACACCGCCTCGGAGAGCCATCCCCCCACCTGTCCGCTCACTCCCCGAGAGCCCAAGGCCACCACTGTACCCGCTCCGACCTGCAGCCAGGGCTGCTGCTCCAGGGCTGGCTGCTGGCTCAGAGGTCACGGGGGCAGCGTCCTTCTCTATAAAGCAGAAGCAGTGCCCTGAACTCTCTAGGGGCGAGGCCCCCCTCATGCCTGCAGTTTCTTGGGGGTTCACAAGCACGCACACGTGTTTGGGGAGAGAGGGGCTGCTGGCGCGTCACGGCGGAGCACAGCAGGCGTTCCCTGCACCAGTGTTTCTCTTGATTCCTCAACGGGGGGAGGGGATTTGCACGCATTAGTCCTCAGCCTGCGTGCCCCCCCCCCGGAGCCAGGAGGATTGGGGTCCAGCATAGGGTCTCAGCCACCAGCAGCAGCCCTCTGACTACCATGGGTCCTGGAAGGGAGGAGGGGTTAGGGTGCAATTTTGGGGTCCCTCTGCTCTGACCTCTGCCCAGACACCAGGGTGACATACCCTGAATCGGGCTGCAGGCCCGGTCCCATCTCCCAGAGCGTCCACCCAAGCATGAAATTAAGAAGCATCTACCACACGGCCGGCTGAGGTGTGTCCACTCTGGGCGCTCTGGGCAGAGGGTCGGGGCTCAGGAGCCAGAAGACGCAGGCCATCCTCACAATGAGCCAGCTCCCTCCTGCACCCCAACCTCGTGAGCCCCTCTGCCCTCTACCAGGTCAGCGCCAGGCCCGTCACTTCCGTCTGCCAGAACACCCAGGCCCACCGCCCACCCAGGGGCCCCGCACACCATCAGATCCCGGGAGGAGCCTGCCCCGCGCCCCAGAAGCTTCTCACGGAGTCTGTCACCCACAAGCTCCACCCCAGGCTGGAGGCCGCCTGCCAGGCCGGGGAGCAGGCCCAGGGCGAGAGCGCGGCCGGGGGAAGCGCTCGGCCGTGTGACCTTGGCAATGGCGCAGCCCTGGCTGGCTGGCGGAAGATGGGCCCGGCGCCAGCCGTCTAGTGGGGACGTGCCCAGGCGCTCCGTGTGCCGCCTGGCTCCCGGCAGGCGTGCAGCAGAAGCGATATTCCCTCACCCTCCCGTCTGGACGCTAAGCTCCCCGAGGCCCAGCACCCCCTTGCAGCCCAGGCAGGTCCCCACGCAGGGGGGCGGAGTAAACCCGGGACGAGTCCTCCAGCGTCACCAGGGCTCATCCCAAGGCTCTGGGCAATTTGCCTTTCCACATGGGGTTCAGGGGGATGGCAGGGGAGACAAGCTCACCCCCAATCCAGGATTAGAACCGGATGTGGGCTCTACATGGCCAGAACGGTGGGGGGCCCCGGGAGGGCCCCCTGTCTCGGCTACCTGTAGGCTGGGTTACTCCTAACAGGCTACTTTACCTCTCTGAGCCTGGAGCTCAAATTCCTACCGGGCAGAGCGGGCAGGAGGGCTCTTGAGAGGCGGAGAGAAATTCCTGGCTCAGAGCAGGCAGAGCGGGCGGCGGGCAGGTGCCCACGCCAGCGCCACCCCCAACTTGGGGGCCTGACCGGGGAGACAGTGGAAGCAGGAAGCCACTGCGCCCCTGCCCTGACCCAAAGAGGCTCCGAGGCCCCGCTGCCCTCCTCCGCGGCGCTCAGCTGCCAGCAGGAACAGGAGAGCGGTCCCTGGAGCCCAGAATAAATGTTGAGTCTGATTTTGATTTCCCTGAAGCAAAATACCTCTTCCTGATTGAAGCTCAGCTCAGACATGGCGGGGACAGACGCAGGCTCCACGGCTGCAGCAGAGCTGGGGGAGGGTGTGTGCACCTGCACCCCCGTGCAGCCAGCCCCTCTGCTCCCCTCAGGTCGCCCGGGCCCCTCACGCCCCTTGGTCCAAAGGGGCGGCCAGACCGCCGCTCCC